TAGCTTTATTAGATTCTGTTAACCTCTGTAAAAAAAAAGAAAAAAGAAAAAAATTCAACGTACATACCTCATGTCCGATGGATCCTCGAATCCTGTCGAAGTCGCACCGATTCGGCGCCGTTTGCATCACCTCCCACGAATCCCGCATCTCACCTCGATCGTTGCCCATTGAGGTCGTTAAATACCGCACCAACTAAAGGCTTCGACATCCACGACCGCCTGCTCTCGACCTCCCGCTCTCTCCCGACACTTCTCCGATCTTCCCTCTCCAACTCCACACAAACTCCATAGTAAACTGAAGCCAAAGCCACCACCTCACTGTTTTCCGACCTCCTCGACCCGATCTCTCCCGCTCGAAGCCAGATCCCGTCGGATCTATCCCGATTCCCTTGCTTCTTCTGGTCCAGAGAGAGAGAGAGAGAGAGAGAGAGAGAGAGAGAGAAGGAGCTCTCTCACCTTCCGATTCCAAGCAGCCGTCGAGACCCCCTCTCCGGCCCTTCGTGGTCGCTCGACTTCACCCGCTCCGACGACATTCCCTCCCTGTTGTTTCAGAAGTTACAACATTTTAATCGGAAGCAACACAGGGAGCTCGTTTGCTGTGAAGGTAACTTTCCCTTTCGCTCACTATATCGGCCATATCCCGTAACTGTGCCAAAACAAAGAGAGGAGGAAGGTAGATTTTTTTGTAACCATTATTAATTTTAATTAGGTTTTACTAATCATAATTAATTATATTATTTTTTATAATTAATTGTTAATTATAACTAATTATTTATTATTAATTAATTACTAATTATAATTAACTATTAATTAGTTATAATTATTAATTATAATTAATTATTAGTTATTATAATTATAATCAATTAATTATAATAATTAATTAATTAGTCTTAATTGATTATTAATTATAATAAATTGAGTAATCATGAGTAATTATTTAAGGGTAATTATTTTCTTATTATAATTAATTGTTATTAATTGATTATAATTAGTTAATTAATTACCTAAAATTAATTACTATTAATTATAATTGATCATTATTAATTATAATTAACTAGTTGTTATTACTTATGATTAACTATAATTAATTATGATTATTAAAAAAGAAAAGAAAAGAGAGTGCTATCTCTCTCTCTCTCGATCCGCGCCGACGCCCGCGCAGGTATAATTTCTAAACCCTAAAACTCCGAGAACCCGATTTCATTGCATGCGTCGAGACAAAACGACCACCTATACACGCTTTTCTTAGCGTGGTGGGAGGGAGTGCGTCTCGACGCTTGCGAC